CATTCCTTTGGGTTGGACTCCACCATGTTCACTTGAGTCACCACAGCAACTAGGTGCATGTCCTCCACATCCTTAGTGATGTCTTTGGCCATGTTGGCCTCATGATCCTTCTTTGGGGAGCGGCAATCAGTAGATCTGTGACCTAGTTTGCCACGATTAAAACAATTACCTTTGAATCTGTACTTCTGCTTAGAGACACCACCAATAGTCCCTAGCTTCCCCTTGCCTTTGTTGGCGTTCTTGATCTTGGCCTTGTTCTTCGAGCATTGGCCTTTACCATGCTCCACAATATTGACCTTAGCTTGTACGCCATTGGATGCCTTTGATTCTGACTTCCTGTTGTCTTCTTCAATGCGAAGTCTAACAATCAGATCCTCCAAGGACATCTCCTTGCGCTTGTGCTTGGGGTAGTTCTTGAAATCCCTCCAGCCCGGAGGCAACTTTTCAATGATCGCAACCACTTGGAAGGTTTCACTCAACATTTTACCAACTGACTCGGGGATATGTCCCTGGAACTGGTTGTGAGCTAAGATAAGACTCTGCAAGTTTTCTAGTTCCCCGATCGTGCTGGGAATATCACCAGAAAAATAATTGTTGGAGAGGTCCATCATCGTTGCCGCTTTCAAATGATTGATTTCAAGAGGTAAAGAACCAGTCAAAGAATTGGAAGAAATGTTGAGCTCCACCATATTGATTAGATTCCGAAAACTCAAAGGTAGGCTAGAGTTTAATCCAGTGAAACTGAGCAAAAGCTTTCTCATAGACGTAATATTTCCAATGCATTCTGGAATTAATTGTTCCCCCCAAGGATACGATTTTCTTGTAGATATAAGAACCCCAAGTTCTGGCAAGTACAAAAGAGATATAGAGAGATAACCATGTTGTTCCCACCTAATGATATCTGTTGAATATTCTTTAACATCTTTATTTGACAATTGTCAGCAAACATATATTCAAGTGTTGAAGAAAGATTTCCAATCGAATCAGGCAGAATGCCATTAAGAGGATTGTCGACCAGATTGAGTTTTTTCAAATATTTGCAATTTGCTAATGAGGTGATGAAGTTTAAGATTGAAGAGGAAGGATCATTGATTAAATTGTTATTGACAAGACTCAAATCTTGAAGCAAGCCTAGGTTCCCCAATGAGCTAGGAATAGGCCCAGTGAAATTGTTAAATCCAAATTCAATAATTTGAAGATTAGAGCAATTTGAGATAGAATTAGGTATTGTTCCGCTAATGTTATTCCTACCAAGATAAAGAGTTTCTAAATTAGGAAGTGTGTAACACATTGTCGACGGAAGGCTGCCAGAAATATGGTTTCCTCCAAAACTCATGCTTATCAAGGTTGAGATGTTGAATATATCATCTGGAATAGAACCAGCTAATATGTTGGAGGTCAACGTGAGAAATTGAAGGTATAATAACTTGCCGATTTCTTCTGGGAGAACTCCTAAAACAAAATTCTTCGTTAAGACCAATCTCCAAAGTTCAGTACAAATACTTACTATTTTTTGTGCACTTGTAGTATTCTACATGTTACAAAGACATGCATGATTCTGAGAAAAAAGAGTCCACTATGAAAATGGTCAAATATTTACGATTGACACCTTAAAGTACGAGATATTTCTTGAATAATCAATCTATCTATTTTGTTTTTGCTCAAAAATTCATTTTAGTCATGATATTGTTTTTGCTTAAATTCGTTTTAGGCCTTCAGACAAACAAACTTTTAATATCAAATGTTTCTGGACATGACAAAAGATACACGCGGGTTATAATTTGCTGGATTTTTCCTTAGAAAATTAGCATGGCAACAAATTTCTGAACCTTCCTTTAATTTAAATGTAATAAAAAAGATCCTTTAATTTAATGAAACTATTTCTCTTAACCAATGGAAAGCAAGAAACTTTTACAAAGATACTCAAACTTCTTAGCTATTTTATGAATTTAAATATGAAAAATTATTTCATATAGCAAGTGTATCCCCCTTTTTAGTGTAACAACACACCCATTATACTGACAATGTCATGGCCCCCTAATTTTGTCGTAACTTTCTCGGTAAAATTATAATCTTACCCTATTTATGTGTCTGGCTGCATAATCCTACATAATACAACAGTTGTATGGAAGATTTTCTCATTCAAATATCAATTGTGGTACCTCTCTCAATTAATAGATGTTGTAACTACTTATCTCATGCCAATCGATGCATGTGCAGAGCTACATAAAATTGGAAAGTGCTGACAATTAAATTACTCTCTTCATTCCAATTCAATAGGCTCACTTTTCATTCTGATATGTTTCAAAATTTAGTTCCACTTCAAAAAATTAATTAAATTTTACTATAAACTCTCTAATATACCTTTTCTACTTTCACTGAAATCAAGAACATTATTAATTTTAACAATTACTCTCTTATATCAACCAATAACTCATTGGTCATTAATAGGGGTGTAGTAGTAATTTCATTTAAAATTAACCACATAAACTACATTACCCAATTTTTCTTAACTCCGTGTATGTCTAATTAATGGGTCTATTGAATTGGAATGGAGGGAGTAATTATTTAAGATTTTAACATACCTGTTAGGTTGTTATTACCAAAATCCATTATTTGCAGCGTCGACAAATTTCCAATTACTTTTAGAATTGCACCTGCAAATATTGACTAACAATTAATACGATTACCTAATGAAAAATTATCAGTGAATAATAGTGCTCCATATAATTAGGAAAATCTATATGGTGAAAAAAAATTTGTTTGGAAGGTTTTTTGTTTTTTTTAAAGAATTTTTTTATTATTAATAAATATCATATATCATCATATCTTTTCTACATTTTCAATACTTTTCTTACATTCTCAATATATAAAAGAAGGTTTATAAACGCACTCTAAAAAAATAAAATCCAATCACACCAAAAGATTCTACATTGAGGAGTAACGAGTTAGTATTTAGTATTAGTCTTGAATAGTTTTTTTTTTTTTTTGCAATAGTGCTATTTAAATTTAATTATAAAAAGTGACACGAATTGACCGAATAGTTACGAGGAGCAAGTAATTATTGAAAAGCGAGTTTAATATTGTCAAGATCAATGAAACCAACTAATTGTGTTATTCGTTGTATAAAGAATACTTTAGAGAGTAGTCTAATAAATAGACCTTCGTAAAATAGTTAATATTGATCGCATAGCAAAAGTTAACACTCTGTGAGGGATTTGATGTGATATTGTGATATACCCCTTCCCCAAGTATGGAATGGAACAAACATTATTATAAATTCATTAAAGATAGCATCAACTTGATATGATTTTTTTATTTCTTGTTTTACCTTAAAATCGATAAAATTGGACTGAGTTTTGATACTACTAAATTATGTGAGATGGAGATCATATGTTTACCTTCCAATTGGTTATCCCACAAAGCTAGTACCTGAAGCTCCTTCAAGTTTCCAAGTTCTTTTGGTATTTCTCCAGTAAGTGAGTTTGAATAGAGGTATAGCAATTGAAGCTGTAAACATTGGCCTATGCTTGATGGTTTTGACCAATTAACCCCATCTTTTCTAAATCAAGCCTTTTCAGCATTGGAAGGCGCTGACACATATCCTCCGGAAGCGACGAACCGGCGGAAAAGTCATTGTTACCCAAAGAAATGCATATCAGCGAGGACATGTTAAAGATCTCGACCGGAAAGTTTCCCTGAAGATGATTATAGGACACACTGAAAACCGTTAACTTGGACAGGTTAAAGATGGATGGTGGAATAACACCAGTGAAGCTGTTGTTCCATAAGTACAAGTACTCAAGCTATTGTAATGAGGAAATCCAATGTGGGAATTGGCCACTGAAATTGTTGTAGCTCACATGAAGCATTCTCAGTTGTCGGAACCCGGAAAACTCATCGGGTAATCCTCCGCTGAAATCGTTTCTTCTCAGGTCGAGAGAAACTAGGAATGATAGATTCCCGAGCTGGGGAGGTAGGGCTCCGGCGAGGTTCATGCCGGAAATGTTCAAAGTGGTTACTCGTAGATGTCGAGATCCGCAAGTGACTCCGATCCAATTACAAACCGAGGAACCAGCCGTCCAGTTTTTCGACAATATTTGGTCGGAAGTTGGTTCGGTTTTGCGGTATTTTAGGGCAAGAAGAGCGAGCTGATCCGTGGTGACGTTGGTTGCGATCACCATGGCTGTGCGAACTGTGAGAACACACAGCAACTGAAGAAGTAGCATGAAATGCATGTTATTGCGGAATAATAAATGTTTTTTTGTGAAACGTTTTAGAGGGAGTTGAACACATGGAATCTATATATACAAGAAGTAGTTCATGAATCACACTAACAAAATAGGTAATGCCTCTACTTTCTTTTTAATAAGTATTTACGGGAACTGGGCTGCTAGTATTATATTTCGGAGAATTAATTGTCTAATCAAACTGGCTTTAATCGTTAAGAAATATATAGAGGTTAATTAGTGCCTAGAAAAACAACAAATTTGATCAGTGGAGGTTGAATTAAATTGTTCTGGCTAGATAATACACCCCCCCCCCCCCTCCCCCCCCTCTTTTTTTCCGCCGTGAAAGAAGCTAGATAGTTTCACTTGATACATTGAGCTGGCGGCATTTTATAAAGTAGCAGTACAGTTCCTTGATTGAGTTGACCAAAATTGAAGAGATTAATTATACCTTTGCAATTTGCACTTTTATTTTATTTTTTATCTTTTTTATTAAATGAAGGGAATACAAGCTAATATTTTCAGTTCAAAAGACTACTGCATATCATACGAGAGTCACTCCAAAAACAAATACCAGGACATGCAAAAGTTTATTCTTTCACCAAAACAAAATAGAAGTGGTAAAAATTGTTTACGTGATTAGTGTGCTGATAGGTAGGACCAAAAGTGAAATATTCATCACAACACAACTGTGTCTACTGAAGGTTCCAAAACTTGTGCCTTCGTGCACAGGATTTATTGAAAATGCCTTATCCCAATTGGGGAAAGTACCTTCCATCCTACGAGCCAAAAATCAACCAAATCAAGTTTGTAACACAAAAGAGTAGTTAAGGACGTAGATTTAATAACACCATGCTTGCTGAACCTACACCTCCTTAATTAGCCATTTGTGTATGGCAGTAGTTGAAGTTTGATCTTATTCAAACTTGCAAGAACTTCTCCTATATTACTTCTTTCCCATTGAGACTCCTTCGTACAAGTCAACGCGATATCCATGATTGACAAAATATTGGCAAGTATTTCCTCACAATTTTGATTGAACATTGATATCAAATCAGGATCGATTACATTAATCAATCCATCAGGCATAGATTGTTGCACCCAGCTCCTTAGACTTAAATTTTCACCAAACATTTCATCAGTAGGACGCTTTCGTGTGAAAACTTCCATAATCATAATCCCAAAACTGTAAATATCACATCTTGTAGATACCAAACCTTCCGAAGCATATTCTATAAGAAAATAATATATCAATTAATCATCATAAACTTTTAATAGTAGACAACTTCAAAACTTTCAATTTACATACAGAAAACAAGGAAAGAAAATCTCACCTGGAGCAATGTAACAAAGTGTAGCTAACGTTTTGGTGTATGTAATGCTCTCTTGATCCAACAATTTAGCGATGCCAAAATCACTAACACATGCAACCATTTCTTGATTCAGTAGGACGTTACTAGGCTTCAGATCACAGTGGACAATGGGTACTAAATTCTCACAGTGAAGATACTGTAGAGCACATGCCACATCAATCAGTATGTTCAATCGTTGCATAACATTGAGAAGATACTTATTCGAGTGCAATAGACTGTCGAGACTCCCATTGGGCATGTAGTCTAGAATCAGCGCCTTAAAATCGGGGTTTGAACAACTGCTTATGACTCTGACTAGGTTTCGATGACGAAGATTACGTAATATTTCACATTCTGTGTCGAAACTCTTGAATGATCCTTCCAATTGCAAATTGAAAACTTTAACAGCCACAACATGACCATCTTCAAGAGTGCCCTTATAAACTGATCCAAAACTACCCATGCCCAACAAATTACTTTGATTATATCCATCTATTGCTTTTAGAAGCTCGTAATATGATATTCTTTTATGTTCATACAAGGAGAAACCTTCGTCATCATCAATAGTAATATTGTATTTGGTTTTGTACTTTAGATAGATAAATCCCAAGCACATTATACCAACAACTGATATCATCACAGTGAAAATTATAACAATTTTTTGCATATGTATGCTCTTCATCCTGTGATGAGTTGAATGATTTGAGCATGGTGGTACATGGAATCTTGGAGCTCCGCAGAGTGCTTGATTCGAAATGAAAGATTCAAATGTCAAGTTTATAAAAGGGCCTTGGGAAGGAATTTCACCACTCAAATGGTTAAACGAGACATTCAAAAAAGCAAGCTCTTGAAGGTTTGCTAGTGACATTGGAAGGGAACCAGATAAATTGTTGTATGATAAATCCAATTGCTTCAAACTCCACAATTTACCAATTGTCTCGGGGATATGCCCTTGCAACTGGTTGTGCGCTAAAGAGATATTTTGCAAGCTCTCTAGATCTCCAATGGTGCTAGGAATGTTGCCTGAGAAGTAATTGTTGGAGAAATCCATGGAAGTTACCATTTTCAAGTTACTAATTTCAAGAGGTAGAGAACCCGTTAGAGAATTGGAAGAAAGGCTGAGTTCCAATATATCCTTGAAGTTCCAAAAACTTGAAGGTAAGGTAGAACTTAATCCACTCGAATCGAGGTTTAGATATCTCATCGAAGCAATATTTCCAAAGCAATATGGAATTGCACCCCCAATTATAACATTCCCCTCCAGATATAAGAATCCCAGGCTCTTGCAAGGACAAAAGATTTGAAGAGAAATACTCAATTTGTTCCAGCTAAGATATAAACGTTGAAGATTCTGTAAGTTTTGAATTGAATTTGGCAATGATCCTATCAAGTTGTTGCTAGCAAGACCAAATGTAGATAAGCTACTTAAATTTCCAATCCCACTTGGAATAGTACCTCTGATTTTACAATTATTCGCAACCAAGAATCTGAATGAAGTAGAAAGATTTCCAATTGAATCGGGCAAGATGCCATCAAGTGGATTGCCGTCCACACTGATTTCCACTAAATGTTTGCAATTTGGTAATGAGCTGATGAAATTTAAAGTGGGAGATGAAGGATCACTGATGAAATTGTTGTAGAAGAGACGCAAACGTTGAAGTAAACTAAGGTCTCCCAGAGAATTGGGAATAATCCCTGTGAAATTGTTGTCTCCAATATCTAACAACTGAATATTAGAACAGTTTGAGATTGAGATGGGTATCACTCCTTGAATATTATTTTGATTAAGGTTAAGCCATTGTAAATTAGGAAGGGTGTATCCCATTGTTGAAGGAAGGTACCCGGAAAGATGATTTCCTTCGAAACTGAGTAGGGTTAAGGTTGAGATGTTAAAGATAGCTTCGGGAATAGATCCAGTTAACTTATTTTCTTGGAAGTTAATGTATTGCAGATTGGATAACTTGCCGATTTCATCTGGGATGGCTCCTGAAATAAAATTATTTTTATAGCATATATATATATATATCTTGGTAGTAATATTCAAAATTGACATCTCAGGAAAAAAAAAAAAAAGAACCATGGAACAAATCTCCATTCGTCGGAAACTTAAACATACAAGATTCTTCTTAAAATTGTACTCTTTTAGTGATAGAAAAATAGTTTACTATGTAATTTGTGAGTTATAAAAACAGAGTATTTGAGTGACAAGTTCATGGGTGATAGCGTGGATTCGAACCAAAAATTCCTAAGAAAAAGAAGAAACCAACTTTTTTTTTTAAAAAAAAAAACCTTTTTTTTTACTAATCAATGGAAAGACTGTTTGGAAAATTCTGAAAAATAACATTTCTTTTGGAAAATAAAATTTCCACTACACGCCAGTAGCCAAGCCCCTACCTATTTTATGAATCCAAACCCAAAAATATGAGCTGTACAGTGTACCCCAATTATATGGTGCTCTAATCTCATACATCTTTGAAGAAATATTATGTGAACTTGATAGACCTTCATAATTTTATCATATTTTTTATTTCATGTATTTAATATGTGAGGTATACGTACCTGTCAGGTTGTTTTTGGTGAAGTCCACTACTTGTAGCGTTGACAAATTTCCGATTTCTTTTGGGATCGCTCCTGAAAACATTCACCAGAAAATAATAGAAAACAGATGCAATAACGTGGTGAAAGTTGGGTGGCTAAAAGAAAAACTTTCAACTCTTTTCTGTTTCAATTAACAATTAACAATTAACTGTAGGTAAATATTAAAGTTTCACAAGACTTTAAAAAATGGCTTGACGGAACACGGAACCATTCAACAAGGATGTTTTTTTCAAGAAAAAGTCTAACAAGAATGTGATATACTCACTAGCTTCCTTATATATAATTAATTTAATTATTATAGACCATTAAGTTAGTAGAACTAGATTTGTCTATCTCAAAAGTTTTACTGTGTATTTCAGTTCAACAAATTGGATTATTTTTCTACATATGAATGACTAATAGTTATGGGAAGGAGAGATGTTGGAGTACCTTCCAAATGTGTTTCCCACATGATTAACTTCTGAAGCCCAATCAAGTTTCCAATTTCCTTTGGTATGCCACCATTAAGTGAGTTTGAAGCAAGAGCCAGCACTTGAAGCTGTAAACATTGGCCTATGCTTGGAGGAATTTGACCAATTAACCCCGCGCCTTGTAAATCAAGCCACTTGAGCCTCGGAAGAAGCCGACACATATCATCTGGAAGTGACGACCCAGCTAAAAACCCATTGAAACTCAAAGAGATTCTGTTCAGAGAGGACATGTTGAAGATCGCTGTCGGAATGTTTCCTTGAAGATTATTATAGGACACACTGAAGACAGTTAACTTGGACATGTTAGAGATTGACTGTGGGATAGCACCAGAGAAGCTGTTGTTCCAAAAGTTCAAGTATTCAAGCTCCTGAAATGAAGCAATCCATGGTGGGAATTGGCCGCTGAAATTGTTATTGCTCAAAGCAATTAGTTTCAGTCGACGTAACCCGGAAAACTCCTCGGGTAATCCTCCGTGGAAACTGTTTCTACTCAAGTCGAGAGAAACCAGGAATGATAGATTCCCCAGCTGCGGAGGTAAGGTTCCGGCGAGGTTCATACCGGAAATATTCAAAGCGGTGACTCTGAGATGTCGAGACCCACAAGTGACTCCAATCCAGTCGCAGACGGAGGAACCAATTGTCCAGTTTTTCGCCAACATTTGGTCGGAAGGCAGTTCCGTGATGCCATCTTTCAGGGCAAGAAGAGCAAGCTGATCCGTGGTGATGTTGGTTGTGGTTATGGCTTTGGAAACTGTTAATAAACATGGCAACAGAAGAAGAAGAAGAAGAGGTAATAGTATTAGTTGTAAATGCTTTGAGACCATTTTGAGATTCGTGAAGTTAATTCTGAGATCTATCTCTCTCTCTCAGGCTAGCTATGAACTGATCACTAAATGTGTGTAACAGAAGTTCAAAAGTCACACACATTACATAATACCTCTGCTTTTAAAAAAATAATCATCTTTACAGGGCTACTATAAAAATATTGAGGTTGGTTAGCGCAAAGTAAACCACAAATTAATTAATGAAAGTTTGAATTTTTCAAGCTAGACTTAGTCTAATCTGAATCATTAAATTTGCAGAATTGGTAATTAAAGTACATCTTTAAAAACTGATGCTCGAATATAAAAAAAATCACAAGCATTTGGTGCTTTGTCGCTGCCATTTTCAACGACAGACTTCCAGTATCCTTCGCAACATTTACCAGCATCAAACCCACAGAGGCATTTGGCCTGAATTTGAGTTTTTCTCCGGTACATCAACAATCACTTCCAGTACAAGTTCAAAAGTGAATGGCTTAAAAGAATAGCTCGATATAAGGATCCAATTGGAGAACCTGGGCGGCTGTCGAAATTTGGTTAGCTTGAAGATCCCACTGTCTAAGGATTAAGACCTTCGGTAAAGAATCATCAAGATAGAAACGGAGGATAAATTTCCCGGCAGTCATATCACAATTTGTTCCGAAAAGATTATCAGACAAAAGATATTGGTGACACTTCATTCAAATATTTCTTGTGACATTATGTAAAGAGGCAAAGATTATAAAAGCTGTCGCAAATTCCCTGATGCGCAATTACATGAAGGCGCAGGTTGGAAATGTATACTTTGTCTATAACTCAACCAATCTTAAAATTATACAGAATCTTGAAACTAAGAACGGATCAATGCTTAAAAAGTTAAAATGTATTCTCTAACTATCAAATTGTGTCTTTGCTTTATCCTCACATCCAACTCTATCATGTCAAGCTTCATTAATTATTTACACAACGTTCACGCACATTATTAATATTATTACTGCTTCTACTATTACTAGTGATGTCTTGTCGCGCAATGCGCGACCCTGGCCCAATATATGTGTAGATCTTAGAAATGTTTGTATCTGAAAAAAAATATTTTATATTTGGCCCGATATATTTTAGAAATTTTTGAAGAATTTAGAAATGTTTGTATTTGGCATAAAAAGAAATTGTGTCTGGTCCGGTACATTTTAAAAATGTTTGAAGATTTTAGAAATATTTTATAAGTGTTATTTTTTAAACATAAATAAACTTGATCAAATATATGTCTTGAAGTAAATATGAAAGCTTGCCAATAAGTTTAAATATTAGTAAGATAATTTATTGATGTTCTCTATTGGTTGTGCCAAATCAATACTTAGTTTTGGAGATTTATAATAGCTTTGTAGTAAACTTCCTCCCAAGGGTATAGGCTTAATTGTTGGAACTATTTCTTCCAAAAGTTTATAGGTAGTAAAATATCGAAAATATGATTTTGAAACTGGTTGATCACAAATATGAGAATGAAAATGATGTAAATTTGCATAGGTTTCAAGTTATAGCAAAAAAGAACTCACCTCACCAAGGCAAATTAAGAAAGAAAAGAAATTAAAAGATAGCCCATTAAAAATTGAGAAATTTATTTGTATAAAAACACAAATAAACGTAGAAACATCATTCTTTTCCTCTCCGCCTGAAATTCATAAAAGGCTTCCCCATAAAATAATTAGAAGAAGTGACATGAACTATTTATATAATGAGGAACTAAAAAAAATCCAAAAATCAAATCCAAAAAAGTATATTCTTGAAAGTCCGAACACAAAAAAAAAAAACGCGCTTCATTTGCAAATAAAATAATAATAATAATAATAATAATAATAATAATAATAGTAATAATAATAATAATAATTGGTCAATTGGGAGTATGAAACAAAATCAAAAGCAATTAAACAAAAAAAACACACTTCATAATTGACCATATATGAAAAAAAAACCAAGACTCCATAATTAAAAAAAGAAAATCACTCTAATTGAATGAAATATAAAAAAGAAATTAAAAAAATCACATTATGTAACAAAAACCCAATTAATAAATTCAATCCAAACAGAACTAAAATCATACAAAAATTTTAGGCTAACTAACCATATAAGAAATCACATCATATTACCTAACAACGGTTACGGTGGCTATAAGATGGACGCATAAAAATAATAGTAATAGCACTATTCTTGAACGGGAAAAAATAAAAAATAATAAAAGTCAAACAAATGATCTGTTGAAATAAAATCTTTTAAATTTTAACACCTGTAATTGCACCACCACCACGGCCGAAGCAAGATCAATGAGAATTATTTTTTTTCCCTTTGTGTATATATAGAGAGGTAAAGAGAATATTTTTTGAAGTCGAAAGTTTATCCGATTAGGATGTAATTGATCATCACTAATGAAAAGATTGAACATGCTAATTGGAATGGAGTATATTTCACCACATATTCTCAATTGATGATTGATGAGGAATTTTTTTTTTTATTGTGGGGAACGGATTAATTAGGGAGTCCATTGTGGTAGAGATGGGGATAAGGATTTAGGTTTTTTATGAACCCCTGGTTTTTTTTTTTGGTGAAAATAGGAGGTGGAGGTGGATTTGGACGGCATTTACCTTTTAAGTTTAGGAGATGTGGAAATAAAAATTTATTTTAAAAATATGATGTGAAAATGCCACATGGCAAATGATGGTGCTTTCTTTTAAATGTAGTTTTTGTTTCTAATATAGTAAGATTTACCACCTCAGTCCAAAAAAAGTCTGCATTGAATTTTCAAATATGTACTGTTTTTAGTACAAATTTTCAAAGAGAGTATAAGCTTTCATAGGAATGAGAAGAGGTGTATGTGCAGGACGAAAGACTACTACATTCACAAGTCATACAACCTACTTCCTCAAGATAATTAACAAGATCAGGACATGCAATAGTTTGTTGTTTATAATAACAACATTTATTGAGCTCGTTGGTATGCTGAAATGGATGTATATGTGGGACAAAAAGCAAAAATTCACCTATATATATAGATTGCATGCATCAAAATACAACTTTATTAGGTTCCAAAACTTGTGCCTCCATGCACATTTAAAGAAAATTGTGCTTTGTCTCAAATGGTAGAGGTACCTCCAATCTCTGCAAGTTAAAAAAAAAAACAATAACAAAATTAAGTTACTAACACGAGAAGTAGCTAGGGGCACAAATATAGATAAGCAGTAGGTTTTGAAAACATTCACCTCCTAAGTCATTTGTATACGGCAAGAGTTGAAGTTTGATCTTATTCAAACTTGCTAGAACTTCTTCAATGTTACTTCTTTCCCTTGGAAACTCCTTTGTACAAGAGAGAGCAACATCCATGATTGACAGAATGTTGGCAAGTATTTCATGATGGTGCCGATTGAATGTTGATAACAATTCAACATCGATAATGTTAACCAGTCTATTGGGCATAAACTCTGTCACCCAACTCTTTAGGCTTAAATTTTCACCAAACATTTCATCGCTAGGACTTTTTCGTGTGAAAACTTCCATCATCATGATCCCAAAACTGTAAATATCACATCTTGTTGATACCAGCCCTTCTGATGCATACTCTATAAGGAAATGAAGTATTAATAAATCTTTATAAAAGGTGCTTTATGAACAACTTCATAACTAGCTACTTCGAAAGCAAAAAGCATGGAAAAGAAAATCTCACCTGGGGCTATATAACAAAGGGTAGCTAATGTTTTGGTGTATGTAACGTTGTCCTGACCTAACAATTTAGCGATGCCGAAATCACTCACATGGGCAACCATTTCTTGGTCTAGTAGGACATTACTGGGCTTCAGATCACAGTGCACAATAGGTGTCAAATTGCCACAGTGAAGATACTCTATAGCACATGCCACATCAATCAATATATTCAATCGTTGCATAACATTGAGAATGGAGTTATTTGAATGCAACCAGCCATCCAGACTCCCATTGGGCATGTACTCAAGAACCAATGCTTTGAAGTCAGGGTTAGAACAACTGCTAATAACTTTTGTTAGGTTTCGATGACGAAGATTGCGTAATACCTCACATTCTATGTCAAAACTCTTGAATGATCCTTCTATTTGCAAATTGAATACTTTCACTGCCACAATCCCACCATCTTCAAAAGTGGCTTTGTAAACAGATCCAAAACTTCCATTACCGAACAAATTACTCTGATTATACCTACCTGTTGCTCGTAGGAGGTCATAATATGATACTCTTTTGTGTGGGAACAAGGAGAAACCTTCATGATCACCATTAGTGATTTTACCACTATTTTTGTACTTCAGGTACATAAGCCCCAAGCAGAAGATACCAGCAACTGATATCATCATAGCCAAAATTATTACAAGTTTATGCTTATTTATTCTACTGGTATGATGATGAGTTGAATGCTCTGGGCATGGCGGGACATGAAATCTTCGAGCTCCGCATAGTGCTTGATTTGAAATGAAAGATTCAGCTGTCAAGTTTATAAAGGGGCCTTGCGAAGGAATTTCGCCACTCAAATTGTTAAAGGAGACATTTAAGAAAGTAAGTTCTTGAAGTTTTTCTAATGATACCGGAAGGGAACCCGATAAATAGTTGTATGATAAATCCAATTTTTCCAAACTCCACATTTTGCCTATTGTTTCAGGGATATGCCCTTGCAACTGATTGTGAGCTAAAGAGAGATTCTGTAAGGTTTCTAGATCTCCAATGGTGATAGGAATGTCTCCAGAGAAGTAATTGCTTGAGAAATCTATCGACGTTACACTTAAAAAATTACTGATTTCAGGAGATACAAAACCAATTAACAAATTGGAAGAAAGGTCAAGCACCAAAATATCTTTGAGGTTCCATAAAGTCATAGGTATGGTGGAGTTTAATCCATTGGATCTGAGATAAAGTTCTCTCATAGTAGAAATATTACCTAAGCAATTCGGGATCGTGCCTCCAATTATATAATTCTCTTCAAGAGCTAAGAGTCCCAAGTTCTGGCAAGCACAAAAAAGCTGCAAAGAAATACTCATTTTGTTCCCACCAAGATGTATACGTTGAAGATTCTCCAAGTTTGTAATTGAATTTGGAAATGACCCGATCAAATGATTATCAACAAGGTCTAATTCATTCAGACTGCTCAAATTTCCAATTCCACTTGGAATGGTACCAAAAAGTTTACAAGAATTTGCAGACATGGTCCTAAGTAGGAAGGAAAGATTTCCAATCGAATCCGGCAAAATACCAGCTAGTGGATTGTTGTCAAGAGCGATCACTGACAAGTAATTGCATTTTGCCAATGAAGTGATAAAGTTCAAAGCAAGAGAGGAAGGGTCACTAACTAAACTATTATCAGAGAGATCCAAAATCTGAAGGAAGCTAAGGTCTCCCAAGGAATTGGGAATGAACCCTGTAAAACTGTTTTCAGAAAGTTCAAGAATCTCAAGATAGGAGCAATTTGAGATTGAATAGGGTATAGTTCCACCAATCATATTTTTTCCGAGATAAAAACCTATTAAATTCGGAAGGTTGTAACTCATTGGTGACGGAAGATTGCCGGAAAGATAATTATTATCAAAATTCATTTTTGTTATGCTTGAAATGTTGAAAATGTCTACCGGAATAGAGCCATCTAACTTATTGAAGGCGAAGTTCATTTCTTGCACGTTTGATAACTTGCCGATTTCATCTGGGATAACTCCTACAAAATATTTGTTTGGCATGAAATGCTACTCATCACTCTGTCCTAAACAAATTGTCCATATTGTGCTGTGAAATTCATACTACTATAAATAATAAAAGCATGGACAAAAAAATTCTGAAAATAAACTTTCTTTCAAACAAATCAAATGTTGTAAAAGAGGTACATATGTCTGTCAATGAGATGAGTTTTTCTGGATATGACAGAAGATATAAACACGTATGCGGTAGGTGGTGTGTTTTTCGCGAAAATGAGAATTGGATTCTGTCCTTTAAATTAAAGAAAAAAGGGAAAAATTTTCGGTCCGGAAAAGGAATGAAAGATGGGCTTCATTTGCAGAAGTAGTTATTACCAAACAGAGAAATGATACTAGCAAAAAAAAAAAAAACAAATTAAACAAGACTCTTATTTTACTTTCGAAATGGATCATTTTCTAAAACTATTATTTTGTACCACATTTAATCAATGCTGTTACTTTTCCTAGGCCAATTTACTTGTATGATGCATGTTCGAAGTTATAGAGAAAAATTATATTTTATCTAAGAATTTGATTGTTTTATTACTTCTTCAACATTTGACGTACCTGTAAGGTTGTTATCACTCAAGTCCACTCTCCACAGCATTGACAAATTTCCAATTTCCTTCGGGATTACACCTAGGTAGAATATTGACCAAGTTTTAAGTGGAATAACCAATGAGAAATTAAATCCGTATTAAAAGATGGGAAAAGAAATATCTATAAGGTGAAGTCATACGCATGGATTTGATTTTGGTTCAAATGGAATAAAACGAAAAATCACAAATCGAACTTTGGTCTTATTTGGAAACTAGAATCAGTATCCACATTTAATTTAAGTGAGAAACAGAATTTTGATCATATAGATAATACCACATAAATAAATAAACTTATAGACTATGTACACATACCACGCATTTAGTGTCCGAAATTTCCTACTTCCTTTGATTCTTTCAGTATCTAGTTTAGATTTTCTTTTTTTAATACAAATTATACTAATTGTATAGAAAATCATTTTAGAGACCGATGACTACATTTTATTCGTACTAATTCTTGATTCTTCGCAACACCTGCCCATTAATTAACAGACTGAGGTGGAACATATTTTCATCGACACACACATTTGATTACGTAAACCTGGTCGCAGAGATCATCAAAATCGACAAAAACTAGATTGAACACTCGACAGCTATCAAATGGAGATATATATTACCGTCCAACACGTTAGTTAGCAAAGCTAATTCCTGGAGTCCGGTCAAGTTTGCGATTTCTTTTGGTATCCCTCCGTTGAGTTTGTTTGCAGAAAGGTGTAAAACCTGAAGTTGCGAACATTGGCCTATGTTTGATGGTATTTGACCAATAAGCCCCGTCTGAGATAAACCAAGTAATCTGAGCTTCTGAAGACGCTGGCAAATATTATCCGGAAGGAAACTAGCCGAAAATCGATTTACACCCAGCGAAATGGTTTCCAGAAATGACATGTTATATATCTCTTCCGGAAAGTTCCCGACAAGCTGATTGTATGAAGCAACTAACGTTGTTAACTTTGACATGTTAGAGATGGATTGCGGGATCACACCGGTGAAGCTGTTGAACCTCAGGGACAAGTATTCCAGCTCTTGCAATGAGCCAATCCAGGGCGGAAATTGTCCACTGAGATTGTTGTGGCTGAAATCAAGCACTTTTAGTCTGCGAAGCTGAGAAAACTCATCGGGTAATTCTCCGTTGAAATTGTTATCGCTCATGTCGAGATGAACGAGGAACGATAGATTCCCGAGGTGGGGAGGTATGGTGCCGGTGAGGTTCATGTTGGAAAGATCTAAGGCGGTCACTCTCTGATGACGAGACCCGCAAGTGACCCGAACCCAGTCGCAAACAAAGGATCCAGCGGTCCAGTTTTTCGCCAATCTATGATGAAAAGGGCGTTCGGTGATGCGGGATTTAAGTTCAAGAAGTGCAAGCTGATCCGTGGTGATGTTGGCTATTTCGGTCCTGGCCAAGGAAACTGTCGGAAAACATGGCAACAAAAAAAGAAGTAACATTGTAAGAAAGAAATGCTTATGAACTATATTCATCGTATACATGTTTTTTGTGTGTGTTCAAGTTCGATCTTAGTTCTTTCAAAATCTATAGATATAGCTCATGATTCATGGCTTTTGGATTCTGACGTTTTTTCAGAAAGTTGCTATTATTAAATAGAAATGATAATACAGGACTTTCAGTTTTGGGCAATCATTTTTCAAGTGAGATTGCCTTACACTCAACAAACTCTTGTCTGCTCTCCCCATGGCTGCTTTCTGACTTCAGGTCTTTAATTATTGAGTGAAATTGTTAATTAGTGGAAAGTAAAATAACCAGAAAGGTTGAATTGTTCTTTTCAGTACTCTAATATATCTCTGAATTATACATTGGACAGCCAGCATTTGTGTAGGAGTTCTTGAGGAAGGTGCACCGTGCACCTTTGAAAATGATGCATAAATAAAAAATAAAAAGTCAAAATTTGAATTCTAATATTACTGTACAAGGAATTCTATGCAATGATGGATACTCTATGTATCAATGTATCGAAGTACGTTATTTGGTGCAAACCAAGTGTAATTACATTTATAGATGGCGTCTTCCTTGGTGTTCGATCTTTCTTGTTCCCTTAATAATTACTACTATTTTAAACAGATTCCAAAATCTCAATTTTCATTCCCTCTGCTGCTTTGATATATAGGAATAGACTACCACGTTTTCACCATCCAACCGGCAGCAGCAGCCATCTACTCAGCTGCATTTTCCGAATAGCACCTAATCTATCCCACTCACCATACACATGATCTACTTGAAAATGACTATCATACTACCACCACTCCCTCAATTCTGAAAAAATAGTTTATTTTATTATATTTTTTCTGGAACATGGAAATCTGACCATGGCGATGGCAATCTACATATTAAACATATAGTTGTTGACCTAATTCTCAGTTCATGCATATTCTCTCAAGAATACTTGCCGCCAATAGCTTTTAATAAACATCAATTAATCAATTAATCAATTAGTAAGGTTCAAAATTCCCACGCAGCCCCAAAATTAAAGCCTTCATCATAACGCATCACTGACCACTACAAATGTTGTTAATGGAATCGATCAGCGCCATGGGAATGAATTTTGGTATTGTTTTTGTGACTCCCTGAAGGTTTTGTGAATCGAAAAAACATACAACTCCAGATCAACGAATTGGGAGTCGGGACCGTCCAAAAAATACATGACCCATAGATCTACGAATAAGGTTTTGAACCCCAACAAAATAAAAAATTCCCACAAAACAAAACTCAGGTCTAAAAATCATTTAAATTAAGAAGAAAAAAGATATAATAAAAATAACAATTACTCTTTCTCTGCACACTAGGGGCGAAAACACCTCTAGTGTGTGTTCTTCGGATACAG